AAGCCTTCTCGGTAGTATCGACCTGTGTGTGTGTGTGTGTCAGCCTTTAGCCCTTGTTGGTGTTATTCCACTGAAAGAGGAGTGTGGTGAGAGAAAGAGAATATTCGCTTAAGTGCAATAACCTTGCGGCTTCAGCAGATTTATCCAGAGCTCCAGTTCCCATGGGACTTCGATGTTGTGGAAAAAATTCATTGAAATTGACATATCACAAATGAAAAAAATCAGATCACGGTGCTTTTAACAGTAATAATAAATTATAATAATAGTAAATTGTGGTGTATCAAAATTTGTTCTAAATATTTTTCCCTTGCTATTAAAAACTTTTCAGTAGAGCGACACAATTATATTTTGACCATTGGCGCCCTAATAAAGCGTTATATTATTATTTTTTCCCTTACGTACAGTTACCCTGCGACAGTTATTGGGTTAATAGAACACATGAGGCATGTCTTATAGCTTGGCAGAAGCACAGTCCTTTTTGCCCATAAAGATGATCAAGTCCACAACACGGTGGGAGTAGCCCCACTCGTTGTCGTACCAGGACACAAGCTTGAAGAAGCGCTTCTCGTTCGGCAGGTTGTTCTGCAGCGTCGCCTTGGAGTCGTAAATGGAGCTGTGGTTGTTGTTGATGAAGTCTGTGCTCACTAGCTCCTCGTCGGTGAAGCTGAGGATGCCCTTCATGTACGTTACAGAGGCCTTCTTCAGCGCGGCGTCGATCTCCTTGATCGATGTGTCGCGGGTTGCCGTGAAAGTCAAGTCCACCACAGACACGTCAGGCGTCGGGACGCGGAAGGACATGCCGGTCAACTTACCCTTCGTCGCCGGGATCACCTCACCCACGGCCTTGGCTGCACCGGTCGTGCTGGGAATAATGTTGATCGCGGCAGCGCGGCCACCACGCCAGTCCTTCATCGACACGCCGTCCACCGTCTTCTGTGTCGCCGTGTACGAATGAATCGTCGTCATCAGACCAGTATCCAGACCGAAGCCCTCCTTTGTCAATACGTGAACCAGCGGTGCGAGGCAATTCGTCGTGCACGACGCATTTGACACAACATGGTGAGTCGCCGGGTCGTACTCATTTTCGTTCACACCCATCACGATCGTCTTGACGCCGCCGGATGCGGGTGCACTGATCACAACCTTCTTGGCTCCTCCCTTGATGTGGCCTTCGGCCTGGGTCTTCATCGTGAAGAGCCCGGTGGACTCGACAACGTAGTCCACGCCAAGCTTACCCCACGGCAGATCTGCAGGGTTGCGTGCAGCCTTTACGCACTGGATGCGGTGCCCATTCACCACGAGCACATCTGGCTTTTCCGCAGAACGATTGCTCTTGGACACCTCAACGCGGTAGGAGCGTGGTTTGCCGTGCACGGAGTCGTATCGCATCTGGTACGAGAAGTATTCCGCGTCGGTGCTCATATCGGCGACCGCCACGACATCGATGTCGGTGCCGAGGTGGTTTCCTTCACAGATCGCCTGTAAGACCATGCGGCCGATACGACCGTAACCGTTAATTCCAATCTTGATGGGTGTCATAATGGTATTAAATAAGAGTTATTGGTATATTAAGGTGAGATCGCTGAGTGTATAAATTTCGTAAAAAAAAGAAGGCAAAACTTTGTTTTAGAAATGGTAGATATAGAAATCGAGACACAAAGTGAGTTAGTGAATTGTGACTACAAATACATTCCGCCTAATCACAACATCGGTGGCAGCATCAGGATTTCCCATATAAGTCTTTACCTTACAACATACGCACTATGGTGGTGCAGAAAGGATAGGAAGAGGAGGGAGCATTAGGAGGTTGCGTTTGAAAGGTATTGAACAACATCGTCAAACGCCTGAACACCGTTCAACAGTACTGTTTGTTTGTACTTCGTTTCTTGTGGATAGAATGCCTCCCGTAGCCACATGCTCGTGACGTGATGGGCATATGACCCAGGACAGGCGTTAGACGCAGCACTCTCCAACACAATGGATCTAATAGCTAATAAAGGACTGACGTTGCCGAACGCTTCGGTGACAACCAGCGTCTTTGGCGCAAGTCCCAAAGCCAGTCGGATCGCACCGACTGTACGGCCTTGCCCACAGCCGGTTGCATCCATAGCAACCACACTGCCTTGAATTCGCTTCTTGCCGAAAATCCTCTCACTGAGTTCCTTCCCTGTCTTACTATACACCAGGATGCTTTCCTTGCCATAAGACCCTGGGCTTGTCTGTACATTTATTATAATAGCTTCGGTCACTCCTTTGGAGTATGTTTGGAGAAGATCTTGAAGAATACTTATGCTGGATTGTACCCGATCCCCATTGTAGAAAATTGTTTTAGGATCTTGATCTTGTCCAGTGTTAATCGCCTTTTTAATAGAACTATACCCATACTTTACTGTTAGCTTGATAAAATGCAAGAAAAATAGATATCTATCTATTAGTCTCGGCGTTGTGCTGAGTTTCTGCAACTCTTTTAGTATTATGTAGCCTTCTGTATTTGAATTTTGACATTTAATTTCATCCCACTCCTCCTTTAAGAAATAATTGTGATTAAGATCTACACCTTCTTCGTTAAAGAGCCGATTATGTACCATACCATAGGGGTTAACAGCGTGAATAAAAAGTACAGATGGAAGTCTAGGTGAAGACTTATTCCAATCATTCAGGATCTTGTTTTGAATTCCACTCCCAATATAACCATCCACGCCGCGAATGCCACTTACATGAACTATCAACTTATCTGAATGCTCTCCCTTAAAGAAAGCGGTGTCCATATAGTAGTGCATATCACCTCGAGTGAAGACAAGGTGATTTTTTATTTCAGCCTTCACTGCCCGAGCCGAATTCAGGAACTTTTCACGTGCACTCTGATAATCCATTGAAAAGTATATTTCTGGGCATTTTGTTGTGTTTTTATGGTCCTTGCAGGTCATAGTTTCTTGCAGAGGTACGAGGTCGATTAGCATCAAGCCAAATATAATCGTCAAGAAAGAAAAAACTTCAAGTGAACCGATCATTGGTAACAATAATAAATCCTGTGAGAGGGGGAAGGGGTGGGGGATGAAATATCAATTTAGATTTGTCTTAAATAATTATTTGAGAAGAAACGATAACTTGAGAGTAATACTAATAAAGAATGGAAAGGAGTCTAGACATCATTAAGGACAATTTTCATTTCACCCTTTGAAAGCAAGTATATTATTGCAGTTCACAATGGCTCTGAAATAGCAAATAAACGGAAGGAATAGATATATATATCAATGTATATTGTTTTTCGTCGGAAACAAATATTAAATTTCGAGAATTGATTACCTCTGGAATTATACTATGACTTGTTTGATTTCCTTTTCTCAGAAAGGCTGTGAAACATTAGAACTAGTGTGTTTAAAGCATAGTGTGATAATGGTGGCTCTTTCCGTGAGCATCTTTGTTTGCTTCAGAAGCTCCATTTGTACCGCCGCAACCGTTTCAAGAAGTTGCATTTCAAACAAATGCATTCGACTTTTTGTTAAGAAAGAAGTGTGATGTTTTAGAGCACTATTCAGAACAGCGATGAAGGCTTCAAACAAAGGGTCTGGAAGAATTTCATGAAGTCCACGAATATGATACTCCAATAAGTTATAAAAAATGAGTCGAGCATGTGGCGGAGAGGTCTGCAGGCTATACAGTATCTTTCGCACATTATTGACCTCATGTAGAGCTTTCAGTTCGGGGTAACAGGTGTAAAACGGGACATCCCCTGTCACAGGCACATCCCGGTCCATCCCTTGACGATCCCCTTTATCCACATCGGTGCTTCGTCTATCCTCCGTTACGGCGGATACCGCGACAAAGGTGGTGAAAATGCCCTCCAAAAGGGATCGCGCGATCGGTGAGTCCGTGGACCGCGTGGCAATGGCGGCGATAAGGGTGAGCAACGCGCGATGGGAATTGGGAAATGGTGAGATGCTGGGCCTGGGCTGGCCTTCCATACCCCTGTCAATAGGGCGCGGCCGAGAGGGTGTCAGGGAGATCGATGACAAGAAGGAACAGGGTTCCTGAAATGCCAGTGTGATGTCGTCCTCAGAATTTATAATCCCAGCCAGCTCAGCCCGCCTCCCTTTGGAGACAATCCCACTGCATACGGACGACATGAATACCTCAGGACTAGCATCTTGCGATTTAGACTCGTAAATACTGCTACTAGAAGTCCTTTTGGGACATTCGCGCGGAAGCATCCTTTGGTGTTCAAATAATAAACGATTTTAAAGCAAATGTGTGTGTTTGCTCCCCTATTCAAGGAGTTATGCCTTGATCTTAAGCTTCAGTAAAGGTATATTTTTGGCTTTAAAATTATACAGACAATATTTCTATTCGTGCTTAGAATTTTTACATGTAGGGACCGTTATGCACTTACACAACGTTCCAAGAAAGCGAAAAGTCAAATGAAATATGGAACAATGCAAACTAAAATAAAAGTCATTATTTACCAACTTTATTTAAAAATCGTCCAAAACGCATGGACCTGAATGCCATTATTTTATGTTGAAGTAATCTAATTTAATTTCAGATGACACATAAAGTGATAACAGGATTATAACTACAAGTGCACTTTGTAAGAAGACAGTGAAATGTGATCTTTGCAAAAGCATGAGTCAGTTGATGGTTTACTAACTATTTGTGCTATAAGTGCTGACTTAGCCCTCACTTTTAAAGTGATAAACAAATGCATTGGAATAGAACTACATACCGATATGCCTAGTTTCATGGATCCTTCAAATTATTTCAATGATAGTATTGCTTGATGCAGGTTGAGTCATATAAAGCCCTTGTTTGCATTAAACGTAGGTCGACTCGAGATTGATAATAAAAATCCAAGAATCACTAACAATGATGACATAGCTTAAACATTTTTAGAAACTAATAGTATGAGTAACAAAGTATATAGCCATTGTGTAAATCTTTACTGAGTGTTTCAGTGTTGTCTAGAATAAATTATGAGTAATAAAATCGACGTGCTAGACATCATGCACACTTAATCAACACGACCAAGTCGATTTGGGGGCTTTACTAAAGAACACCACAGAGTAGTCTCAAACAGCTTCACGATCGCAGTCCACACTTCGAAGTACATACGCGCTCCTGATCTACGTTCTAGGATTACGTTAGCCTAAGTTAATTACAACTTTAGAATCTTTAATTGCATGTAGTAGACTTTTCAATCTACGGCAGACACAACCACTGTTTAGTACGAAGTGCGAGATGACAGGGTAAAGTAATGTGATTGACCTCACATCATCCAGTGCGTTATCCTGTTGCCATAACAGGTGGCACAAAAGATCTCTGCCGTCAGAAATATAAACCATACATTGGTATTGCCTTCAGAAGTTCTTCAAATTTTTAACACTTTATGTTCATCATTTAAGCTTCTCCAGATGAACCTATAATAATAATATATATTACACGATTCAAACCTCAGAGCTTCGGTCCACTTGATAACGATTTTTTTATATTGCCTTAGCTTATTAAAGTATAAGACAAAGTTGTGGCGTGATGTAAAATATTATAAATCAATATAAGTAACCTTAAAGCATTCTACGATGGTCTTGTGGTAATTTAGAAGTTTGCACCAAGCGATATATTAATAATAGTAAAATCCGGTGATCCATCCTTCAAGACACATGGTATGCGTGAACGCATGCGCGACAGGCTACAGCTTACCCTGTCAGTCATGATAAATTCCAAGACTAAAGTGCGTAGCTAGACCATGTGAGTTTTGTCGATACAAAGTCAGATAATAATAGATCTCTGACAGCGGTTAAACGAGTTAGTTAAGCTAAGAATCCCAATTAAACAGGATGCTATAGTAAGCTAAATGATGTTTCAGCACTAGAACGTAGACCATAATATCAATCCGAAGTTCATTACATCTGGAATTTAAAAGCTCACGCTGGTGACAGTGCTCGGAACTATATCAGTGTGAAGAGCTATTGCTGAAGAAATATCTTCACCATCACTTCTAGTCACGTTATCGCTCAGCAAAAATAAGGGAAAAATGTTTGAAATTAAGCCTAGGTTAGTCACACCACCTATCTCAGTGGTATTCTTATGAGACAACGCAAATTTTTTTGAAGTGTATCGGCTGCCTTAGGGTGGGGTTGAGAAAAAAGGAAAGCTGGGAATACATAGGAATATTTCCACACCAAAATATACCTTCCTATACGTTCTTGGTAGAAGGACAAAAGAGCTTCAGAAGTCCGTGGTGATGAGTGAATTAGAGCGTGGGAATTTATCTCATCGTTCAGATCAGCATTGACTTCACGCGTCATACAGACACGTGGGAAGTGATATGGGTTAGGGAAGTAAGCTTAATAAAAAAATACCTGGACGGTTTCTCGTTATTTATTCAAAATACTGTGTAAAGTGTTTTGCATTAAACTTTGTCCTCTGTGAATTTCTCAGCTACACGACCTTGATTTCCTCCACCCTTGCATGTGCTGCACCTACTCCCTCTTCTATAAGTTAGTAAGTGTTGCACCGTCGATTCAGTTCCTTGAAATATATTATGCATGGTTTTCTGTCCAGCGGTAGAATTAACGCAATGTCTCTTTTGTTTTACGAAATTTGAGATGGATAAAATACTGACTGTTAAAACGCTCCGATGTTTGAAGTGGCACACATTAAGAAAAAATACACATAGAAACTTTATCACAGAGTGAAACCTAAAATAGATATCATACAAAGACTACTTCTTAAAAAGGAAACAACTCGCTTTAGTCGTCTGGATCCATTACTCAACAATAAGTCGATTTCGTTTGAAAGGGAGAGCAGAATGCCAAATCTTTGAGGAAAGAACAGAAAAATAAATGCCTATATCCTTGATTCGAAGAAATTGAGCCTTAACCTATATATCAATACCAGTTTCTGAAGTTATTTAATGCTTCGGAAGGGGGACACCTGGGGTTGTATTGGCTATTTGGATAGTTCGAAATTTGCTCTCCTCAAATGCACCTAGGCGGTCCACCACAGAACTATCATTAGTTAGACCGCTGTTGTACTGCAGCGTCACTACCGAATCACCCCGAACAAACAAAACGGAAGAATAGCACTCTCGGAGAACTGATTCATTACGTGAGCGCTTTTTGGATCGTCTTAATGGTCTTTCCCGCTCTGCTTGAGTGAGTATTACGTTCCCGCACGGACTAAGGGACACCAAGCGTCCTGTCAGAGTGCTCCCATCGTCCAGTCCAAGACTTACTCGATACCCCAAGTAGCGAAGCCAATTAAATTTAGAAAGCTTTTCTGCCGACGTATTTGGAAAAATCAAACTCATTGAACTAGGATAACACAAATTTGGAGTTGTTCTAAATGCAGAATCTATAAATATATCCAGCAAAGAATCTAAAGTAGTATAAAAGAGATTTGCCTGTGATTTTTATTAACAAAATGGAGTGAAATCGCACGATTTGGCTAAATTTTAAAAGACAAATACCTTATATTTACAAATAAAACTAGATTGTGAAAAAAAATATCCATAGAAGTCCAGAACGATCAAAAAAGGCATAATGCACTCTACCTTCAGAAGACGCACTATTTATTTATATTTATATATGAACTCGTATTTATATCTATTAACACCATTTATTAGGATATTTTAATCGTCGTTGTTTTGTGTCGCGTACTTAATCACACCATCATATTTGCTCCATTTCACACGGTTCAAACACTTTAGGTTTAAAGGTGAAAAAAAGCGAACTTAATGTACAAAAGCAGTTTCAACTTTACCTACATGCGGCATGGAGAAAACGAATCAGAACCAAAACTCCTTTACCTTTCATGTTATATAAACAAAAGTAAAATCTACTAAATATATATATATATATATATATATTCGCTCACTCTTTCTTATATTGCTTTTTATTCTCGTGAGCATCTGGTTTCAACTCATATTCATCTCTGGGTTTACGCTGTCGTTTGGATAAAAAAGCCTTGCCGCTTTCCATAGCGATATCCTCTAAACGCTTAGGAGGAGCAGGGGGGAAAATAGACTTTTCTTTCCCAGACGCCTTCTTATGCGTCTCTTTGAGTCGTTCCTTCTTGATTTTACGTACTGCCTTTAGTTTTGCCTTGTTTGGTAAGGTTTTCTTATAAACTGGAATAAAACGCGACCAATCCTCGTGTTTCATGTCCTCTTGTTTGGATAACTCTCGTTTAATAAGGAGTTGTTTGAGACCGTAGATGGGATGAATATTGTTCATACAGTCCTCAACTATTTTGCGCACCATTTGAGTCCCCTTTACCGGGCCCATGGCTGTGACGGTCTTACCCTGCACAAGGACATAACAAGCTGTTAAGATTTCTAGCGCTTTAAGAGTTTGAGCCTTTGGCCCAATGAGACGATCCCTACGCTTCACAAACTGGCGCGTGCTACCACCCTTCATGCCAATACTTATAATATCACAAAAAATATCACTCTGAAAAATCTTCTGAGCCTTTGTTAAAGGTACGTTACGTGCCATTAGCTTGATAAAATCACGAGCCTTCACAATCGCGTACGGATCCCACGTTCGACGGGTAGTCGCCACGGACATACTACCCTCCAAAAGGTCAATTTTCCCAACTAATTGGTGCTGCATCAACACCTCCTCGACGGCGGGCCATACACTCTTGATGTAGCCTTCCAAGTAGCTTGGAAATAGTGTCGCAAAGACGGTCTCAGCCGCACAACAGGCACCCCCAGGGACATCCTCCTGCTTTAGCTCCGCAACGATATACCGGGAAGAGGTGGTGTTTTCCATTCCGGTGAACAAAAAAAGTGAGAACTCTCAAATAGCTAATCTGACTTATTTGTTAAATGTAAAAGAAAATGAAATAAAAGATAAAAGAAGAGAAAGTTGAAATCTATTAAAATGTCATTCTGAAATCCAACATTTTTTTTAGTGTACACAGATGTAATTACGTAATATTTTGTGTTAACAGAGACTTATATGACCCTAAAACATCACAATTTATCCAGCTTATTCAAACAATGGAACAAATATCAATAAATGGAGAAAAAGAGGGGTGTAAAGAGTCCTAATTCTTTAAGCACGTGCAGAAACTTCCATACTCGAGCATGCTATTCTGTGGCCCATTCACCGGAGTCAAGTTTAGTTAAAATGTGAGCGCGCATAATGGGCCCATCATCTACCTCTACCTCATCAGTGTCAACAAAGGGAATTGTAACAGTACCAGAAGCAATTCGTGGGCTGCCTAGAGGGTATGATGCAATACCCGTTGTTAGAAAAGGCCGCCCTAGAAGAGCTGCCAGAGTTTTTCGAACATCCCCATAGCGTGCACCCTTGGCAAAGGGAACAAATACCACTGTGTCACTGCTTTCACACCTCATAGCAAAGGGAAAATCCTGATAAAGCTCGTCTTGACGCATGTCCTCGTGTGTTTCTCCTTTGGGTGTAGGGCTCGTTATCCTAAAGATTACAGTATCGTTTCAATAAGTAAATCAATAAAGAGTCTATATATTTTTTAAATGATAAAACTTTAAAATATTGCATTTGAAAGGAGATTTATAAAAAAAAGGACCCAGGAAGAAAAAAATAGGCATTTTGATATTGACATTTTAAGGTCTGCTCAAGATATGGCACAAACTTTTTCGACTACAAAAGTCCAAAAAGCTTGTCATACTTCACGCACCATTTTATTATTATGTTATCGTCAAAACACGCAAAATAATATTTTAGTGCCTTTAATTTAAGTATTAAGTTAAATTGGAATACATTCAAAGATAATGAGCGAATTCATTAAGAAAGCTACACGCAGGCTTTGATTGATTAGAAATAAAATCGCTCAGCGAATGACAAAGATCTGAAAATTGACAGACCTAGTCGGCCTCTTCGTCTGTTTGTTCATCCTCTTCGTCGTCATCGTCATCGTCATCGTCCTGTTTTTCAGCGAGAAGTATCTTGTTACTACCACTTGGCTTCACCAGGATCATATCCTCATCACCAGATCGGTCTTCCATGATCTTCTGAAAAATGTTATCAACCACTGCCCACATTGTTTGTACACGCACACCTAGGTGTGAAGCCAATACTAAGGGAACCTCAGATTGGACCGATATGATCTCATGATGTTCAGGATCGACATGGTTGGCCTTTTCTGTGCGTGCCAGAAGGCCGATCTTCATAAAATTCACACCGGATAGGTGCGACAGCGCAATCCAGCGAGTTATCTTAGCCTTATTCGAGCTGAACGACATGGGCAGAGCTGAAGCCTTGCTCGAGTCCAACTCCTTACGCCAAACACTCGTCGATCCTGGACGACACCGCTCCATTAGACCAAAGAGTCGAACCAAGCTGTTGTCGCGCTCTACGGCATCAACCTCACAGCGGACGATGATGTCGTAGCGCTTCGATGGCGAGTCAAAATTCATCATATAGCGGCGGTAACGATAAAGGCGAGGCTGAATATCGGTAAAGGTGCTTTTGATCACCCTGTCACAAACCTTAACAGTCCCACGAGAGCGCAGACAGGACTGTTTAATGAAGCAATTGTATACCCTTGTGGACTCCTCCCCAAGAGTTGAGATGCGCTCTGAGAGGATGTCGTCATCTTCCGTTGGGGCCACATCTCTGGTGGCCGTCTCACTAACCCACTGCCGGTCAACATTGCTGTCGGCCTCCTTTTCAATCACAAAGAGCTTAAGAGCACGCGAAGGGCTCGACACGACCAAATGCCATGGATGAATAGAGAAATAAGAAGACATGATCAGCGAAAGCACCTCGTCCGTGGTGACGAACAGCGGGACCTTGCCAGCGTTCTCATGAATGAGTTTTTGCATGTGTGGATCCAAAACGTCGGGCCGCTCAAAGTAGTCCGGAGAATAGGCGCTTTCGTTGAGAAGACGCGGACACGCACAGCTAGAGTTGTTGACGGTGCTATCATACACGAGGGGATGTCCAGAAGACAAAAGGTCCTCAACCTTGGGTAGAGAAAAATACTCGTGCTTTAACATTTCATGCTGCAAAAATTCATAAAATATTGTTGTTTCACCAAGAATAGGAACCGTGTTAAGCAACTCCACAATTTTCCGTGGGCGCTCAAAAGTGCGACGTTGTTTCGATTGCGGATAGTTATAATTAGTTGTCTTCTTGTTTTTGGTCTCGGGTTTGTCGAACTTCTTCCTTTCATTTTTGTCAACAACATCACGAAAGGCGGCAGTGGTCTTTCCATTAGCGGACTCCTCAAGATATTTTTGAAATCCAACCAAACAGTCGACGGCGTGAAGAGGGGTTTTTTTGAAATGTAATTGGAAGGGTTGTCTATCAATGGAAACCTCGCTCTCAGGGGGTCCCCATGAAAAAGGGGGGTTAACGTATAGCCCCGGAAGTTCAAATGGCATTCAGATGCGTTTTTTTTCTGAAAGGCTTTGGAGTACAACAACAAGGAGTGGAAAATAAGGGATAAAAAATTAAACTTTTGAGTAGAAATCGAATCATCAAAGTCATAAATTGAATAACAGAAATAAGGTAACTATTCACTACGTTTTAATTCCACACGCTGCAGATAAAAAAGATAGACTGTTTATCAATAGTATTCCACTCTTAAAAATAAATAAAATAATGTAATAATATATATTCGTGAAATCAATAAGCAACAAAAAAAATACAGTGTATCAAAATTTATCAGGAAAAAAAACTATACGTAAAACAATGGGTTTATTTTTTTTTGAGTACTGCGAACCGTCTACGCGCACATATACGCGTTAACCGCCCTCTCAAGGTTTCCTCCGTGCTTCAGAATGTATTTTTTTGCCATTTCATTGTTCACTTGAGGGAAAATGTCTTTAAAATGTGAAATAATTGAAGCTATTGATGGATATACTGTATCGGCATGAGCAAAAGAAACTTCAGTATTCCCATTAGAAGCGGCAGATTGATGGGGTTGAAGCTGGTTACCAATAGACGAGGTACATTCAGTATTTGGGTGTGGTGACTGAGTCTCGTTAGTAGACTGTATCAAAAGCTGCTGCTGTCGATTCCTTATATGGTTGACTCCTTCTAGAAGTCTTCCAGCGCGTTTCCTGTCCTCTAACAAGTAGTCTGCGACGGCCTTGGGGTCTTCCCTCTGCATGGGGTGTAGTTGTTGTAGCTTGCGTTTCGCGGCACGAATGACTGTTTCAGAAAACTGATCCCCCGCAACAGCTTGAACGTACCTTACCGTGGGATCGACATCGACACCGTCTGCATCTGTAAAGCCGTCCTCCTCCATATTCTGGGAAATAACAGAGAACACGATAGATGGCTTGTCTGCAAAACTATCATCCGAGCATAGAGCCAACAGACGATCTTGAAGTTTGACACATGAAAAAAAATGATTCCTCCAGAATATTACAGCCACCTCACCCTCTTTTACGCTTTCTCGCAATTCGGCGTAGCCCTCCGGTGTCATCTGAGCACTATTTGTGGCTTCGTAAAAACTTTTGGCGAGGGTGTAGAACTCTCTCGATTTTACTGTTAGAGAGTCAGAAACTCCCTCCTTTATCGAGGCAGTATCTTCAACGTCACCTTTATTTTCCTCCTGTAACTCTACAGCGTGAATGGTTGAGGTGTGTTGAGGTAGCTCAGGTAACGCAAAGTCTTCATACTTTAACGCGCCGGTTGACAAAGTCCCATTCAGAGAAAACGAAGAATTGGGAGAATTCGAACTAATTAGTGGAGCTAAAGGTGGAGAAGACGCCGCCAGGGTTGTTAATTCGTTGAAAGACATGTTCCGCAAGGGGGCATAAAGACTCCCCGGTGAAATAACCCATCCATGTAGTAAACGAATGCCAGCTAGTGCGAAAAGCGATACATCGCTATCGGCAACAAAACCCTCACAGTCTGTAAAAATGGGATTAATATTCATACCACTATAAAGCCGGTCCAGAAGCGCTATGACTTGCTCCTGTGTCCTCGTGAGAGACTCACGAACTAACTGTAAGGTAGAAGGATTTCGAACGATTTTCGACAATGTTAACACCGGTGAAAACGGTAGCCTCGTGGATTCTACATTCGTGTTCATAGATGCAAAGTTTATCTCATCGGTACCATTGCTTTTTGTCCCTTTGTAAGTTGAATCCTTACCATATACATTTGATAAACAATTCGACTGTCCCTCAGAAATAGCAGGACCGTATGCCAATGTTGTCGATTGGCTGCAGAATAAGTAGCTCGCTAAGCCTTTTATGAGCTCACGCGATGTAATGCTGTAGTCGGAAAAATAGGAAGCTTGCATCTTGTGACTTAACATCAAGGCATTAAACAAAGCCAGGACCGGGCAGGGTCCTTGTGTACTTTGAGTTGCGATTTTCACGCGATGCCCTCGAAACAGCACGGCCTTTAAGCGATGTTCAGGATACGTCTCGTGCAATAAGCGTACAGCTGCACCCACTTCTTGAAGAGGGAATATCGTAATGACCTGCTTAGTCCTATTTGAGTCAAGAAGCACACATACATTGTTGTTTTCAATACCTATTATGCTGCCGTCCCCTTTCGTCGTTTCAACAGGCATTTTAAAACCTAAACCTAAGGGCCCCAATATATCGGGATCTATGGCAATGTTGTGAAGTCTCTTATCGTCATCACGGAAAACAACAGGCTCCATTTTTAATATTATTCTAGATTACATAAAAGTGAAACGTGTCGTATAAAAAGAAAACAAGGATCCTAGGAAAGAAAAAATGAACTTGGAAAAAAAAACTATTGGGGAATACTATAAATTTAAAGGTACATGTAAAAATAAGGAGTAATAAATGTGGTAACACGAAAATGTAATAAATTGTTTTCAGGAAAAATAAATCTCTGGAAACTTTCAGATGAATAAACAAAAAAAAATTAGAACACACGTTGCAGTCAAATTGACGCACTATACCTTCAGCACACGGGTACGCATAAATCCACAATATTGACAAATACACATAAGAAAACAATTTGATGTGGTTTTCACTCTACCCCAGAGACAATAAAAGTTGTTTGTAATTCGTTATGGTCAGAGATGCGAACGAATAAAGAAAAAAGAAATGGCAAAAAAAGTGCCTATTCGAGCGCCTGAAAGCTGAGGGGATAACTAAAAAGGAATATCTTTGAGAAAGCTGAAAGATTAATTGCTCAAATGAAATTCTGGAAATGCGATCGAAATAAACTCATATTAAAAAATATGACAGAAAGTGATACTCCAAAGAGTGGCATCGCTAAAAATTGCAATTAGGTTAAGTCTTTCCCCATTATAGCCGGTAGGGATACAACGACAAGTGATGCATGAATATAGAAAAAATACTTGAAACAAGAACTTTAAAAAAATGATTAACTCTAAAAATCTATTCTATAAAAAAGTCTAGGAAAAAATAAAAATACAATAAAGTAAAAGTTCATTGGCTAAATTAATCGGATACATATTGATCAGATAAAATTAAATAAAAACAGTTGATAAACAAGTAAAAAGAATCATCAACCAATATATATTAAAATAGTCTGTCATATTTCCATTTTTCCCTGATTAAAAAAGGACTAGTACATGTATAAGTGAAATTTTACTCATGGCAATAGCTTACGCTAATCTTATGTATTAAAATTGTCACATCACGTTTTCATTGAAACGTGTTTTAGCATTATAATTGAAAACTGACAATAAAATAAAATGTATTGATATAATTGTGTATAATAGTTATAATAATAATAATTATATATATATATATATAATT